TTAAGAATGAGATTTCACTCTTTAGAGTTAGATTTCACTCCAAAGATTTTAGAGTGCATTGTGAATGTTTGATGGATATTAATAATATCAATATTTCCAATAATATACAATAGTTATATTTATAGAAGGTACTCTTTCTAACCATTTTCGATTATAAGCTTTTATATTGTGATAGGAAAAAAATAAAAGATTTAATTTTGTACATTAATGATTTAATAATTTGTTTAAATTATTTTATTTTATTGTTATAATGCTATTTAATATCAGAAATAATTCAGGAAAATTATTCCAATCAATTTTTATTTCGATTATTGTATAAAATGACAAAATATCAATTTGTATAGGTCAGTATGTATTTTTTTTATACTGGTTTCTATACTTAATATTCAATACTATATTTACTTTGTTTCTGTCATATAAGAAAGCAGTATGATATATGTAATTAAAATTTTAATTATTCCTAAAAATAAAATATATATACAGCGTGTTTTCTAACGTCGTGCAAATGTGCTATTCTGAAAGAATAGCATAACGGTACGAGAGAATTAATTAAATTAGTTGAGTACTCCGAAATCTGCATTATATTCTTTCTGCAAGAGAGATTACTGTACTTTGTATTGTACGTGGTAAAAATGTCCAAAAAATAACTTCTCTCTTCCAATTGTAGTAAATTGAAAATTTAGTACATACGTGTTATTTTGACCTTTTAACTACGATCCTAAAAGAAAAATGTGGGCCGACTGTTGCTATTTTTTAAAATCGTAAAAATATAAAACATGTGAATTTTACAAATAGTTTTCTCAATAAATATTGACATCTGAGTAATATCTGGCTGAAACCGTTATCAATTTTATAAATTTTATCGATTGTTTCTTTTTCACATTTTAGATTACAATAGCCATAACATTAGGATGTAATTTGAGGTATCTCCTAGAATTTGATTGCACTGTGCAATAATCATGATTTGGAACAGTTCGCTCAATATTACTGTTGTTATGTTGTCTGCCGAGGTTATATACACGTATAATAATTGTTATTCTTTTTATATATTAAAGATATTCCGGATATTTTAACAACTTGAAGATGACCTCATGATAGATCGAAACGTTTTGTGTATAATTTTGAACATTGTTACTAACTAAATTTCGACGTTTAATTTTTGTTATTATGTTATTATGTTTTGAATTTTTGTATTATCATTTGATCCGTTTTATCATTCATCAAGCGCAAACATAAACATGCATTATAATATATTATTTTGAACTTTGTAATAAATATATCATATTGGCTCGTAGCTCATGATTGTTATAATAGAATTTTTTATTAATTGAGCCGTTTATTTGATTTTAACTTTATAAATTTTATTTTATCACAATGATATTTTTAAACATAAATTTGAAACCGTTGAAACTTTGAGCAAGTTTATGTTTCGATATTGCAAATGAAAACCAAGCGAAATATTCTTGATGTTTACTTTTGATAATAGAAATATGATTTTGTGTACTGTATACATTTCCTCGTGTCTACACCGAGAAAAATTTCTGATTGCAAATGGACAGATCTGAAGATTCTGATAGATCAAATTAATCAGTGACGCTTAACAAGTATGTCGGTACATAATTTAAAATCAATAATTTAATAAGCGAAAAATGCTTTGTTTTTTTACTATTCTATTCGCGATCAGAAATAGAAATGTCGTTGAACACAAGAACACTTGGGATAATCCTTTTTTTAAATTTAATGCGTTCGTAATAAAAAGAGTTTGTAATATTCCACCCACAAAGTTTTATCACTCCATGACGTAAATGTTCAGGATGTTTGACGTGACGTTTGTTCTTCATAATTCGCAATAATTCTCGTCGTAAGACATAAACCTTAAACACAACCTCACGCTTTCCTCAACGCGTGCAGCAGTACTTAGAGCCGCGATCTCGTTCGTATATAACACCATTAACGCCGCGTCGCGCTGATAGTGGCAGATGCATCAGAAGGTGGCGAATGGAAGTGGCGAATGGAAGTTTGGTATCTCCGAGTAGGAGATACCAAAGAGTGGCGGGAGATACGTACTCGTGCGGGCGTGAACGATAGAGACGGAAGCGACGGAACGATAGACCGAAAGAGAGGGAACAAAGAAAAAAAGCACACGCAAGAGGTGGGAGCTTTCGCGGGCCGTGAGGTACCGTCGGCAGGGACAACAGGGGGCGGTTGGAAAGGAGATGGGAACGTGGAGGCCATGAGGAGCCTTACAGCGGTGGGGATGAGTGGCGGTGGCGACGCTGGCGGTGGTGGCGGTGGCGGAGGCCGCTCGTCGTTCAACACGCAGGATCAGTCTCGGGGAGAGAGACCTCGCTCCGTCGCTTTCGCCTCGCTCTATCTAGTACCTCCGCCGCACTCGTACATGCTGGAAAACGCGCCGTTCTTTACACGCTTAAGTAAAAAAGAAAATACGATTTTGCCGCGTCCGGTAAAGTTTGGCGGAAGAATCGCGGAGATCTCGACGAACGTACGGTAGTACGGCGCCGGCGTCTTTCGCGTCGGTGGACGGGAAGCCTGTTGCGAGTCGCTTCCGTCGATCCGTCCACTTCCTCACATCCCTACTTCCTTCCTCCCTGACGTATTTCCGTCAGGTAGAAGGGCCGTCGCACCTTTCCCTTTTCTTTGCTCCGATATTTCTCCTTCACCGACGAATCGATCCGCGACGTGTCGTGGTGGTCGCGTCGACTGTTGTTGTTTATTACGGTCAACGGGGAAGCCGGTCGAGGAACGCGGAGCGAAAACGAAAGGAAGAGAGAGGAAAATCACGAGGAAGCTAGAGAGCGAGAGGAGAAACTCTCGTTCCGTCCTCTTTGATCGAGCACGCACCCTTCTATCGGTCGGCGAAGAAAATACGAGGGAGAGTAGTGGGTACCGAGTGTAAGAATCATGTCACGACGCTATCTGCGCTATCAGCTCGAAATAGCGATCTCGGTGTTGTAAAAAAAGTGTAAAATGTTATGCAATAAATGCAAAATAATGGGAGAGAAAGAGAGAGATATGAAAGATGAAAACCACTTAGGAATTGCGCGCTGACGTTTAAGCCGCGACGTAGTACGCTCTCGAGTGGTGACCTTTTTCCTTACGAGGACGTGAGTGTAAGATTAATTAGCGAGGGATACTAGCGTAGTGATGAGAGGAGAAGAAGAGAGAGGGAAAACAGATGGGAGCACCGACATAGCATACCGGGTTGAAGTACCAAAGATAAGGGAGACTTTGTATTCGCCGGTGTGTGTCTGGTGTGTCCCCAGGGCGAGCTGAGAAAAAGGGCGAGAGAAATCTCTCGATTTTTCTCAGTCATTCTCTTCTTCTTTCTCGTCCGATAGTTTCCAGAATTCGCGAGTAACTGTCGAGCTGGTGAACGTCGAGTATAACGAGACTGGGTCGCTGTCTAAGCGTTTTAGAGCTGACATTTACTTTCGAATGAGACAAGACGGGATAAAACAACGTTATGCCATGCCCCGTTTCTGTTGAAAATTTTCCGAAGTCAGCTCGTATATTTTGTACGCGAAGCGAATAAAAAATAAACAGTCGAAGGGGAATTAGGGTTGTACGATATCTGGCTTTCTGCTCACGTCAGACCGCTGATCTGGATTAGTCATTTCGCGGATCGTTCGGCGAGAGTTTTATCAAAATAAATCGTGCAAACCGTACGTCTGAAAATTTTTAGAAGCGTAAGAGAATACGTGTGCTAACCGTAAACATAAATATAACAAAAAGAAACTTCTCGTGTTTATATTTATTATTATATAATAAATATAATAAAAATTTTGTCATATGATTGTCTTTTGTTTTTTTAATTTGAAGTTAAATTTCCTTCTTCGCGGTGATCATCTATAATTTACGAATAATATTTTTTCATGGTGAACTTTGCATTCTAAAATGAGAAAAGTTCTCAGAATTTAGAATATTTAATATCACTCTCAATCGAATTATCTGTTTACATAAAATGTTATTATAAATTGTGACAAGAGTAATCAAAGTAAACTACTATCAGTTTTTGCAATTAATATTAAATACCATGGTAATATTAAATACCATGGTAATTAAACTTTAGATTAACTTCTCGCAATGAGAAAATCGAATGGAAATTACTCGGATAGTAAAACGACAGCTTCTACGGAACTTCCGGGAAACTCGGAATGAGACTCTAGAGATTGATTTATTGCGTCATATCTATTTATACTACGGTAATGATTACATCGATAACCAACTCTCTCTCTCTCTCTCCTCTCTCCTCTCCTCTCTCTCTCTCGTTTCAATTTATTTTTATACATATATCCACGATGATACATTGATACGTAAATAAGAGGAAAGAAACCATACGTTACATCGGAATCGCGTTCCTCTCTCGATGTTACGTAAATAAACAATTTTATCGTTCTAACGCGTTCTTAGATTAAACAATAACAAAAAAAAGAAAAGAACAGCATCTGGATCACAATCGATTCGGCAGGCCTGTTGCTCCCCGACTGGCTTGAAATTTTAAACGCTGCTATTATATTCGAACCACCTTACGTGGTTGTATATAAGTATCCGTCGATCCCGATGCTGCAAAGCCTACGCTTAAACTTTAAGCACGAACGGGTAATGCAACCGGATGGGGTAATGGGTTAAACGCGGCCGAGTACTCTCTCTCATATATATATCTCTCTCTTTCTCCATGCAGCTGCGGCCCTTTATCGGCCACCACCGAGACGCCTCGATCGATAGCGCGCGAATATGCAATACGCAAAAAGCAACGCGCTCGAGCCTCGGTAGCTCGGTAGCGGCATAAAATTGTACGCGTCGTCGTGATGTCCGCAGGACGAGGTGAGAATAATATGCGCTCGCGAATTGCGCGCGAGGGTGCGCGAGCCGGAAGGGGACCGAGCTTGCCACAGCAGTGACCTGTGAGCTCGCAGGCGGTACGTTACGTACGTTCGATGTGTCGTGAAAGAGCCCGTGCCAACGGCGACGATCTCGCGGTCGCAGTTTTTTGGACGAACGACGGCTTCTCGTGAGTAATCGGGTTAGTTCCTGCCAGCCGAGTCTCCTGGGTAGCCTCGCTTCTTGGTCGTCTCTCCAATCGTCGTGTCCACGTCTTCGTTGGGCGCGCGAAAGAGCTCGAGAGGACTTCGAGTTTCAAAACGATCGCCTTCCTATCAGCGAACATTATTGTCCTTTTTCGAGGATATACAAGGGATACATCGTGCGCTGAGACGTCGCAATATCCGCAGATATCGTTGAATCACGTAGACACTAAACCGGTAAGCTCTTCTCTATGCAGTTTATTAACGCCTCGTGATCCTTCGATTTCGATTCGACTAAGGAAAACATATAAAAACTTCTTATATCTTATTTGTCTTTCTTCTTTTGCCTTTCATGTATTGCTCCATCTCGGTAATCTATTCAACTAGGCAGCTATTGCATTTTTAGTAAAGATTGAAAATGCTACACGGAAAAACTTTTCTCTTAAAATTTACCCTGGAAATATGACAGTTGTGGTACAATACAATATTTTAGATTTTTACCATGCACTTCAATAAAATTAATCTAACTTATTTTATATTTTATTGTAGTTTTATTAATGAATGAGAGAAATTTATATAAAATTCTTCGAAATACAATGTTGTCTCACGATTACCATATTTTCAGGGTAAACTCTAAGAAAAAATTCTCTCCGTGTATGATACGATGGGAATTTAAGTTTCGTCGCTATACATAGATATAGGAACTTATACGTTTATTCGTGATAACAGCAATCCCATAATCGACATAAAATAGACTTTTCCAAATCTATATATAACATTGAAAGTCGAAAGTGCATTTTCTTTTTCGCAATAATGTTTACAAAAATGGAACAACACGCGACAAAGGAAATACATCCATACAAAATGATAGATGTATGTTGACCTTTTTCTATAATTTGTTTCAATATAAAATAAATAGTTATAATTTGATCCATTGTATGAGATATCGTTATTATTGTAAAAATCTATGTTAAACAGCTTTGAAATGAATGAGTAGATATGTAGAGAGTACATTGAATGCGTTTAGATTCCTCGTAAAAAAGATCGTGAATATCACACTGCACGATAATTTCTTAACAACTCCATTTCCTTAAATTGCTGTTATTAATTAAAATTAAAGTGTTAAAATAACTCTGAAGTAAGTGACCATCAATAATACGCTGAAGACTTAAGAAACGTTAATTAGTGAAAAAATCCGCAGTCATGGCGTGACTTTTCTGGGGCATTGTAAACGAAAAACACGAATTCGCGTGCTTGAGCTGTATTCAAATGTTCTAGAGGAGTAAATTAGAGAATACGTTGAATTACCTTGAGTATTCGCGTCACGAAAAAGTCAAGTCGTTGCTCGCGTCGTTCGTCGTGTATGCCATGATGAAATACCCTGTATATATGTTCAATTAGAATTAAGAGCTTTGCAACAGCTGTTCCAGCAAATTGAAACAACAGATTAAAACTTCATGTTATTAATCCGCTGTCATTATTTTCATGATGATCAATGTGGATGTAATGAAGTAATAATCCTATTTTACCAAGCGAACATTTTTTTCTGTACGAGAGAATTTTCATAATTGATTTAATATTAAAATTAATTTAATTAATTAAAAATGAATGTTACTATCGAAAATGGAATCAAAGAAATGTTAATCAAAGTAATTATTCATGTGAAATGATAGAGACTTATAGGACCACGTTTTATCAGATACAAAAAGTAGTATAATAAAATCATTTTATTATTTTATTTGTTAAATTTCTCTCTTTCGCTCACGTTTGTGTAAATAACTATTTTCTTGATGCGAACAGTGTAAATTAACACTGCTTAAATAAAATAAAATGCAAACCGAAATGCTGAAGAGAGATATTTGGACATGTTAAAAGATATTTGGACATATTAAAGCTTGTTACTGAATCTTGATTAACATCCTAAAAGGCTAAAAAGAAAGCAAATGTAGTAACCTTATACACGATAGGATTATAAGATATTAGTTAGACAATTTCTTTTAAACAACAACACATTGTTTTTAATATTATGATTTTATAATCACATCACACTTTTATTGCGAATTTGTAATTATATGTACAGTATGAGACTTTCCTTTTTGAACTTTTGATAACAAATCTTTTAATACCACAAATATAACGATTTACTATTTGCAAGAATAATTTAACAACAGATAATAATCGGCGAGCCAACACAGTTTTTTCTATCAGTTTGCAGTTTGAGTGACGTAACCGGTAACTCTTAATCCTTGTAAAGCCATTTTTGTACGATAACATGTTTCGTGACTTGACGTCTGAACGATTTAACACTCATCTCGTTGCGCATTAACAACATTTTCCATCGTTCAGTCTCCCGTCGTCCCGTCTAACCGCGATGGAGCCCATGAGGTTTGAAGTGTCTGCATAATTCATAGTCGATCTCATAGCGGTAACCTCTCGTCCATCATCTTCGGCTCGTCGGTCGTTTTCATGTTCATCGCGGCACACTTGCGAGGTGTCCTCGAGATAACGTCGTTGAAGGTAATCACTCTCCCGTTTTTCTGAGCACGCGAAAGATTCGATGTCGCGTAAGTTTTGATATTGAAGTAGTATAACATCAAAGTACGACCTCTGTTTCTTTGATATCTTATTAAATAAAGTTAGTACGAGAAATGAATTTAAAATTTGACAGATGTTACGTGCATAATAATTTCTAAGATAATTTTAAATAATTAAAATGAAGTAAATATAATACGCTTTTTGAGATAAAAGCTCTTTTTCAGAAGTCAAATTAAGTTATACAGCTTCTCAACCCTTTGTGGACCTCTTTTGGGGCCCTCTTTTATTTTATAAATTGCTCGCTCAATTTTTACGAGACATGACTTACGGGATAATTTCATAATGCTTTATTCGAATCTAAAGTCGAAAATAAAAAAATTCAAAAGATGGATTCAATATGACAGACAGAATTAAAAAAAATTTATTGTAAAACTCGATTTTAGAGAATTTTTAATTGCGAAGTATAATAACATCAAGTTTCTAGTTTTGCTTTACTTGAAGCTCATCAGTAATATGTAAACAATAATATCATATGTAATCATACTGATTTTTAAACTCTGATTATAAATCCTGTGACAGAGTTTCTTTTACATGAAGATTACTATTCTTTTGAAATTCGATATTTTTAGGCTACATTCAAACTCAGATATCTTTTCTAAAATCAAGTTTTACGATAAAAAATATATTTTTGAAATTTGAATTTTAAAATTCTGAAACTAGAATTGAATTCAGCGATCTCGAACTTTTCGGAAACAAGATCTTCCATAAGTTACTTTGTTAAAAAATTCCGGTCCTTAAAGAATTAAATTTGAAGAATGTTAATTATTTCTGAGAGAAAATGCAAAGAAAAATTAAAACATCTTATATCTGTTTTATAATTACCTATATATAGTTTAACATTAACTGCACTGAAAGAAAAGATTCTGAATATGGCATGACATTTTTAATTGATTGCAGCAGCCAATTTTTGGTTGTGTTGGTCTATGAAATTCTATACTGACATTACGGATAGACTAATGCAACCAAAAATTGGCTGCTGCAGTCAATTACAGCTATGCCATCTAATTTGCAACAGCCAATCTTTTCTTTCAGTGTATACGTCTAAAATATCAGATAAAAACAATAAAAATTTATTTTAAAGATAACTGAAAATTGCTACGTCCTTAATTATAATACTGGTGGGAGAGACTTATCAACATAAAGAATATATAACGTAATCGATTGGAACGCATATTACATATTCTTCACACATTAATTTACGACACATTAATTACTCGATTTTCTTATTTTAATTTAAACTCTCACGAATTTAGAAATACTAGAATTATTCTAATACAAGTATGACACGTGTTTGATATAAAGTTGAAGAGATAAATGCGCATGTATCGATTTTTCAGACTTTTTAAGAGACGGAGAAGCTGCTTTAGTCCAGACATGTGTGTACGCTGAAAGTAGTATAAGGTCATATAATAATAAATCCAAGCATAGTTTATTTTTTATCTACGTCCTTTTATGTATTTACGATTACGTAGATTGATTAATATCAATTAAGTATCATATTCACTTTCTTTCGTGAGACTGTATCAAGCATTATTCAACTTAAATGATAATTGTCAAAATTCATTTTTATATTTTTTGTTATATTCTTTGTTATATCCGCATAAACACAAATAAATGTTTAAAAAGCGATACTAATTTTTAAGCAATCTTTATAAATATTTACAATTTTTTAAATAAATATAATAACATAAACGTACATGCATACACAAACAAAATTTTTTGGAGATATGTATAGATTAAAAAAATTTCTTAAAATATTTGCACTAAACTTAATACATTGAATATACATTTAATATTTCGAAAGTACAAGGTTTTTTTGTGATATTCTCGATAGTTTTGGATATACTCCATAATTATACACTTTTTTCAAATAAAAAGAATAAAGTATCTTAAGACACTTCAATAATGTGAATACTGAGTAACGAAAGTCTAAACGGTCTGAATTGGATCTTATATTAGTGGTTTAATATTATTTCGATGTGAATTTATGTACATATCCAGTTCTGCAATTTACGCGCCGAAATTATTTTCAGTCTTGAAATGCAATCATACACAGAACTAGGATGGTAATATCAGAAATTAAATTGACAAGCAATTTAATAATAAATAAAATGAAATTTACTAACAAATAAAATAAAATGAATTGAATAAAAATTGGTTTGTGTATGTGTATTGGTTTGTGTATAACTTATAAATTTTTACTTCTCTCTAGATGTATCTAAAAATTATTTCAAATTGTTGGTCGGTATTTTGTTGTTGCTCGCCTTTTCGCAACATGTGTTCTGTGACATCGAATTGATAATAAATTCATGTTAGTATCGAATCTGGATGCTCATAGCTTGTAGTATAAATGTATCTTTGTAACATATAAAATCAAATGATACAAACGACGAAATCTTCGTACAGATCAGATATCACGAGGACGAAGCGTCTATCCTTGTTCATCCGACACATTGCGCTGGATCGACAGCAATTTGAATAATTTCTTTCTGGCTCACCGGTAACTTCTTAAAAAGACTTTCGATAGTCCTATAAATCGCTCCAACGATCGCGTTACGGTAAAGTACTCGATCAGAACGAAATCCCCCTTTGTGCTCGCTTAAATGATTTTTATTACACAAGGCTTTGTCGCACAAGATCTC